AGAAGATGGAGGTACATGTACGCTATTCACGGAAATACCCATTTGCTGTAAATTTAAGTTCAGCTTTGTCATATACAGTTGGTTTTTCTGTTTCTTGATGAGAAGTTATTTTTTTCAATCTCTAGCCTATGCTTCTCGGTTGCTGGTCTTTATTTTTCAATGGTTAAACGGTCTTTTTCTACGGCCAATCTTTCTCTTTCAATCTCTACCAGTGTTTCTGCAGATTACTTTGTGCGCGGTGATGATCGTGTTTGCGTGAACAGACTTTTATCGTCTCCGGTTTAACTGGTGCCACTAATAAAAGGTAAGGCTGAAAAATAAAACATGTATATATTCATTCAAAACGTGTTAAAATACATGTGATTGAATATAGGTTTCAATGGACAGTTTACATGTTTGAGAATGGTTTGTAAATATTGTTTAACCCCATATATTAATATACCTGCACCTCGTTGGAATCATTATAAATCCCTCTCTTTTTTCAAAGAGGAACATGTTTGATTAATATCTCGCTTCCATCTCGTTCAAGGTTTTGAGGTCATTCTCGTAAAGTCACCATAGCAGACAAACTTAATGTTACATATTGATACTATTATATCGAACTTAACCAAGTCGCTCAAACGAACTTGTTGATAATGATTGATTGATTGATTGTTGGTTGCTTAACGTCCAGTGGCAAATATTTCATGCATATTCAGGACGAGAACAAATTAACAATAAATACAATAGGTAGGTTCTGTTATAGGGGCGTCCGGGATTAAGGTCGGAGAAATTTAGACTGCCACGGGAAATGAGGGTATATTGGATAGGGACAGAAATTTAGCCTTGCAACAGGTCACCTACGGACCCCTCAAAGAGTTGTTGCAAGGGTTCTTAACGTGCAAAGAGCGTGGCACTCTCTTTACACGAGGCATCGGATTTAACGTCCCCATTCTGACCGGACGTGGCTGCAAATTTGTACATCCCGCACAGCCAAACGGACGCCCCACTTTAGCAAGGGTTTTACTGCCGGTCGGAGGAAGACCAATGGTGACCATACTTCTATTCCCCAGTCACCCTTGGGGACTGTTGATAATGAACCCAGTTACACTAACCAATATATTATATTTACTGATAAGTATCGTTGCCATACCAATTGGCATGTCTAGTACATTAGAAATGAATCTATACGCAAACACTTAACCAAGACTCGGACAGACGGACAATGGTAAATCTATTCCGTAATATAGGAACAAAACAAATTGTGGCTCCCTCCTCTTTTAAGTTATGAATACATGTACGTGAATATAGAATATGTAAACTGACCTGTTTCGTATGAGGATTCAAACTCCTCTCAACTCTGATCCATAGGGCTGTCAGCTGCCTGGCAGGTGTTGATACCACCTGCAATCCTGTCAATCGGTGTATCTCCGATGATCCCTACAACCTTGTCTTGAAGTGGTGTCAATCCAGAGGAGGAGGAGGCCCCCACCAGTCTTTTTTGCCTCTTGTCTAACAAATGCTGTCTGCTTCTTCACGGTACTTGTGTAGGTCGACAATTTCTTTTTTATTTCCTCGGCTGTCCGTTTATGTGTCGAGTTGCAAGCATTCACCTTACTGTAAATGGCCTCCCATGCTCTTTTTAGCGGCGTTTGTGGCTACAGTGCTGTGCTTAATGAATTTAATGCCCTTCTGACTCTCCACTTGATCTAAAAGAATGTTCAACTCCGCCTCCGTAAAGTTTGGATTTCGCTTTTTGCTCATTAATTTTACGTGAAGATGAACATGACGGTTATTTACTCGTATATAAAGAAATTGTGCATGAATTTAAACTTTGAACTTCGTGTTTCACGATACGATGACACTACAAATTCAATTCTCATTTCAAAACAAACTGTTTTCCAGTTTAAATTACAATCTTTTTTTTTATATTATTTTATAATTTCATTTGAAATCATGCATTTAATTATATACATGTAATTATAATATTCGTAAACAATTTTATTAGTGGGTTTCGTCATTAATAAATGTTTTATCAAAAAATTACCTTAACGATTTAAAATTTTGCACTAAGGATATGTTTAGGACGTCCTAACATAAGATGCGTCTGAGATAGCTTCGAGACACAATTTAAGAGTGTCCTAAGATGATCCTAAGTCCATCCTAAAGTTGGTCTAAGGATGTGTCTTAGGGCGAATCTTATGACTCTTTCGAGAACACCACCCCTGGATTCACATCTCCGATAAAGACAGATTAATATTTTGTTTTCCAAAGTTTTAACATATTTTCGAATAACAATTTGTGGGAAACAAGCAATCAAATAATGGAAGAAAAATACAGAGCCCAAATTTAATGTTGATGAAAATCAAATATAGAAATCCAGAAAATCTTTCACCAAAAAGAAATATCATAGACAACGAGAGAACACTAGACATACAAAACTGGTGCTATATATGTAAAAGGAAACATAAGATAGTACCTGACAAACAATTAGGCTCTTTACGACTATCTATGTTTATACGTATGCATATCTCAATAAATTATGTTATTAACCTTTTTTCGTACTTTACTTGTGTTTCATTAGCAAATACTTTGAATTAATAAGTTCAAAACATTAGCTGAAAATAGCATGCAATGATTATCAATTGTAATGAATATATCATCAAGTCGATGTTTGAAGTATCCATTAAATTGTATGCCGGCATTATTGATCAGCACAATCAGTTTTAAATCATTTTGATATAGTTCATATATTACACATACATCTTTTACGGACTGTCATTATCGAATATATTGGGTCATTCCAAAATCATATATAAAGTATGTTATGTCAAATATTTGCACATAACACCATTCAGCATGGGTTGCTTGATACGTTTACTGTGCGTCCTTATCATAGGTGTCTGTGTTGTGAACGCAAGTATGTATAGTTGATAATATTTTATTTTGCCTTGGTAATGTGCATCACAATGTTAGTGATTTGAAAGGCGCGGTTGACACTATTGCTAGTCCATTGAGCATCTTGTGTTGCATATCATTTAATTTTGCAGAAAATAGTCTTCTGGTTAACAAATCTAAGTCACATTATTCCAGTAATGTGGCTTTAAGAAAGTCTTAAAGCCTTATTTTCGACATGCAGAAAAATCAACGATGAACGCTGGCTATTTAAAAAGTAATTCAATTCACGGTCATTTCGAAGAAAAAAAAACCTATTGCGAAACAGTTCGTTTAATTATCATTAGAATATATACTTTATATATCATGTTTGTTTTAAAGACGACACTTAGAATGCAACTTTAAAATACATTACGTTTTGTATATACAGTATTATTTGGTTACAAATGTAATTGTATTGAGGTCATTTTTAACATAGGATTTTAACTGTAGAATCGAGATATGAGGTTAATTGCTCACACTGTGGATTTTTAATTTCCTAGGGTAAAACTTGTGTTGGATACATTTTTTTATTTGTTATTAGTTTGGAACTAGCTTTCAATCACGAGTTGGTTGACCGTTATGGAATATCTGTTTCACAGATGACGACAAATATGTTCCGATTGTCGTAACTTCAATCTCGTCCCCTTCCCCCGAATGTGACCTACCGAATTAGACATATCACCGGGTTTGTACTTACATGAGCAACACGACGGGTGCCACATGTGGAGCAGGATCTGCTTACCCTTCCGGAGCACCTGAGATCACCCCCAGTTTTTGTTGGGGTTCGTGTTGTTCAGTCTTTAGTTTTCTATGTTGTTTTGTGTACTGTTTGTCTTTTTTCTTTTTTAGGCATGGAGTTGTCAGTATATTTTCGACTTTGAGTTTGAATGTCCCTTTGGTATCCTTCGCCTCTCTTTCAGTACCTGCGTGTACTCTCAGATCTGTACCCTGCGTCTTTAGGGTTTTTATTAGTTGATAGTTTCCTTTGTATTTATCTGTTGAGTCAATCCCTTTTCAACTGATTTTTATAGTTATTCCTTATGTTGTGCTGTTACCCCACTAGTCCAGGTAAGGGAGAATTGGGCACCAGCAAACATTTTTAACTCCGCCACATTCCCATTGTGCCTATCCCAAGTCAGGAGACTGTAACCCAGTGGTTGTCGTTTATTATTTTATACCATATATGTTTTTCGTTTTTGTTTTTTTTTTGAATAAATCAGGCCTTTGGTTTTCTCATCTAAATTGCTCTACATTTTGTTAAGTCGGGGACTTTTATACCTTTCTATGCGATTTGGGGTTTGCTCATTCAAGTTTAAGGCTGTACGGCGACCCACATTTGCTAACATCTACGTCAATTGGTCTCTAGCTGATAATTTTCTCATTGGAAATTATTTAAAATCTCCTTATTTTATATTGAAAATTTGTTTTCCGTTTTTTGTTTTAGCATAAATCAGGCCGTTTCTTTTTTTTCTTAAAGTTTTTCATGCAGAAGCCTTTTATAGCTTATAACTATACGGCATGGGTGAAGGCCCTACGATGTCCTATTTTTTTGTTATTACATCCTCGACATTTGATCTCGTATAAATAGATGCCTCAATACATTAAAAGCAAATTTAAAATATAAAATCTGCAAAATAACATTGAAGTCATTTGATAGTCATACTGTTTCATATTAAGTTCGTTTGTTTTGATTTTTGATTTTATTATTATTAAATAATAGTTATTGTTAATGTCCGTCCTACCATAGAAGTTGATGTGGCTACTAGTAATTTAATTCTGGCTTCATGGAGAAAGGGTATAATACAATGAAGGATCTGATGAAATCAAAGATACAAACATTTACCTATTTAAAAAAAAAAATTAATTGATAGTAACACAATACGATACTTTTAGAGTTTATGCAAAAACTATCTATTACATGAATGTTTTATTTTTTAGGTAGACCTTGCCAGTGCAGAAATAGGTGCAAACATGATGAACAAAAAGTAGCGCATTGCAGCAAAAAGAATGGCGGTGGAATTCTTTGTTGTCCCAGTCTATTTGGACCAGGAGCACTAACACGTGTTTCTGGATATGATACAAAGATGATATTCCCATTTACAGCACGAACGAACTTCCGACGACTCAGTTTTGATGAAGTATACGGGAGTAACAATGGGGGTGGAAATGGTGGCTCTGGCGGCTATGGTGGTTATGGTCACAGTGGTGGGAGTTATAACGGTTACGGATCAGGGAATGGTGGCGGTTCCGGTTACGGTTACGGATCAGGGAATGGTGGTGGTTCCGGCTATGGTTACGGACAAGGAAATGGTGGCGGTCGAGGTAGAAACGGTTATGCTAGTGACGGATACGGATATACAGGTGGAAATGAATACGGATCAAGTTATGGATATGGACCATCTGATAACTTAGGTTCAAATGGTGGGTATGGTTCTTCCAGTAATGGCAAAGATGGGTATGGTGGTGAGAATTATGGCAATACAGACAGTTATGGCGGAGATAGCTATCATGGCTATGGTGGTGATACCTATGGTGCTGGAAATAATTATGGCGGAGTTAGCTATAGCTATGGTGGTGGTATTTCTGTCAGTAAAGGTAGTAATGGCGGAGATAGTTATGGCTATGGTGGTTATAATAACGGCGGAGTTAGCTATGGTGGTGGTATTTCTGTCAGTAGAGGTAGTAATGGTGGAGATAGTTATGGCTATGGTGGTTATAATAACGGCGGAGTAAGCTATGGTAATGCTGGTGGTAATTCTGGCAGTAAAGGTAATAATGGCGGAGATAGTTATAGCTATGGTAGTAATGATAACGGCGGAGTTAGCTACAGCTATGGTGGTGGCAATAATGACAATAAAGGCAGTAATGGCGGAAGAAGTTATATTGTCATGTCCGATGGTAATAACTATGGCGCTGGAGGTAATAATGGCAGAGTCAGCTATGGTTATGGTGGTGGTGATAATGGCAATAAAGGCAGCAATAGCGGAAGTAGTTATATTGTCATTCGCGGTGGTAATAACTATGGCGCTGGAGGTAATAATGGATACAGTTACGAAGAATCCAAAAGAAGAGCAGGAGGAGGAGGAGGAGCTGGTGGCGGCGGTAGTCAACAGAATTATGGCTATGGATACCAAGAATCTTCTAGTGGCAAAGGAAGTTCTAGCTACAGCAGTCCTGTTTACATGACTCAACAATCACATCAAGGAAGCAGAAGAAACGGTAGAAGTAATAGTATGAAAGGAGGGTAAGTCATGATTGTCTGCATACTTCCAAATGACAAGGAGTTTAACATATACTTTGTACATATACACACCTATTGATATACTACATGTATGAAAATGTTTTTTTTTCAAATTGTTGTTGAGAAATTTTGGGTTTAATGCTTTTTCACAAACAGAATGAAAAGTCACGTTTAATCAATAACAAAATAAGGAGATGTGGTATGATTGCCAATGAGACAACTATCCACCAAAGTTCAAATGAATTGGATGTAAGCATTATTAGGTAACCGTGCGGCCTTCAACAATGAGAAAAATCCATACCGTATGGTCGGCATAAAAAGGCCTCAACATGAAAAACTAAGTTTATTTACTACTATTAATATGAAAAAGTTCGAAAAGTAAAGTTTGCTATTCAACTTAAATCTTGTCAATGACTTAAGAGCAGAATATAATGCTTTCCTTGCATATTAATTAGAATTAAAATAACATAATAAAAATTAAGATATTTAGGGTCTTACAATAATATATATTATTAAAAATTAAAATAACATAATAAAAATTAAGATATTTAGGGTCTTACAATAATATATATTATTAAAAATTAAAATAACATAATAAAAATTAAGATATTTAGGGTCTTACAATAATATATATTATTAAAAATTAAAATAACATAATAAAAATTAAGATATTTAGGGTCTTACAATAATATATATTATTAAAAATTAAAATAACATAATAAAAATTCAGATATTTAGGGTCTTACAATAATAATATATATATATTTTTTTTTACAGCTATTGAAGAATCAGTGATGGACTGGAATATGTACGACTACAATTGTATTCTATTTCCTTTTTTAAGACCTTTGTTAGTAATGGAATCAAATCAGCCGCGTGGACCCCAGGTACATGTAGCTGCTGTACTCATAAACGAAAAAAAGCTTGTAGATCTTGAATAAAATATATTTGATAGTTCTTTTGTTGTTATGGTTTGCAATGTTTTACAGATTGTTCCATTCATTGCACATGGGTCCGTGTAACACTTATCAATTCAAAATTTCAAAAAGTTTTAAATTTTAGATTTTTGGAATTTTGATATTTTAAAACTTTGATTCAAAATTCCAAAAATCTGAAATTTTAAAACTTTTTAAAACTTTGAATTGATAAGTGTTACACGGACCCACAAGATCGTGTTTTCTTGTACTGTTTATGACGTTGAAATATTCCATTGTCGTTACACTGTAAAAATTGTGCTTAGAATTTAAACGTGTTGCAAGACTTATGTGCTTAGGAAAGTGTTTAATTTCTAAACATAAAAAAATAAACATGTTTTGGCTCTCAGCACTTCGCAATAAACATGTTTTGGCTCTCAGCACTTTCCAATAAACATGTTGCTGTGCTAAACATGTTTAGCTACTTTGTCAAGTATATAAAGCTAAACGTGTTTAAATTCTAAGCACTTTCAATATTTAGACACTTTCCTAAACACGTTTAGAATTACAACACATTTAGGCCGAATACGGCGTTCATATCACGTGCTAATTTTTGAGCGGGAAGAAGAAACAAAGAACCCGAAGTCAAAGGCCACGCTGTTTAGATCTGATCATAACTGACCGTAACTTGACTGTTTCAGAAAGGTAAGGAGTTATGATTATACTGTCTTTTATTTTGTACTGCCAATTTTAAATGATTATTGACAGTTATAAGCAATATTTACAAGTACACTACCGTATAGTCAATGCAGGAGAGAAAAGGGGGTACCATCCCACGAAACAAGTACATGTAAGAGCTTTAAATGTTCAAACTATCTTGTGTATAGATGTTAAGAGTTGTTTAATGTTCTATCATGCAAGTTTGCATTTATTCTTTTATTTATATATGTTCTTGGAAAGGAGTTTGTGAGGATAATTTTCGTTCGGTACTCCTCGGCAGATTATAATGGAACATGAAGGGTAGCGGAATCTGCCAAGTCTTATCAGGATGAGGTGCATCATTCGCAAATCCAGTGTCATATCGAGTTCATTGTTTTCGTAAGCACTTCCGATATGCACAATCAACATTTCCTCAAAATAAATAGAAAGATGCTTGTTTATTTCAATAGTTATAAGCGGTTGTGATTTTTTTTAAATAATTTTATTGATATGTATTGTTTTATTCTAGATGAGAGAAGTGCAGAGGAAATCATCATCTGTCTTGGTATGCTAAAAGAGGAGATAAAGAACAGTAGCAAATATGCTGCTAGGTAAGAATCAAAAGTGTATTTGATTTTAAAAATGCCAATATATATTTGATCAAATGAATAATATTAAGCATGAAAAGAAGTTTTATATTAAAAAATAATCAATTGATTCATCAGTAAATTTATGTTTTTATACCACGGTCCTAATGTTGTTATCTGGATCTTAAATCATGCTTTTACTTTTTGGTGTTGTAGTTCGTATTCTTATATTTTTAGATTAATTCTACTTAGTTGCTTATCAATATTTTTCTATATTTCAGGCCATTGACCAGCAGTAGGATACTAAGAAAGGAGAAGCTCTTATTGACCTGTAAAATGAAAACAGGACATTTTCAAATTGTTTTGTTGTAGGGATGGGGTACAAGTAGAAGATTGGTCAATATTATGTACATGTACCTTGATATGAATTTATTTTTGATTGTGTTCAATGATAAACTGGAAATAAATGATAACATAAATTCATTGTTTTAAATGTTGTAATTTTGTTTTTAAAGCTAGAATTAGTATAATGATAATTTCATTTCAAAAGTTCTAGACTGTTTTACGAATATTTGAAATGAAGAAAAAATGCAATAGTCGAATGACGTGAATTGAATTAAAGAAAAAACTCATTGAGATTGAAAAGGTATTGGTCACATTCAATTTGACATGGAAATTCCAGTTTCTTAGTTTGATGCATTGGCTCCTTTTTGTGATGGTATGAAAACCTGTTTTATTGAGAGCTATCATACGTTTTACAGTCAAGCCTTCCGGAATATTAGTTTAATAGGGGCCTAATGAAGTAACGGCTTCTCACAATAAAATGATAAACATGTTTCTTCACGACCCTTTATGGTCTAAACATGTTTACATTCAAAACACTTCACAGCTAAACGTGTTTCCAGACAAAACACTTCTCAGCTAAACATGTTTCCAGATACAACAATTCACAGCTAAACATGTTTACAGTCTAAGCACTTTTTAGCTAAACGTGTTTACAGTCTAAGCACTTTATAGCTTGACACGTTTAGGCTGTTAGCACATTAAATATTAAACATGTTTAGATTTAAAACATGTCAAAAATCGGTTTCATAAATGTGTTTAGGAAAGTGTTTAGGCTCTAAACACATTTTTTAGAGTGTAGATTGCTAATTCACATCCATCCCATACCGCGTTTATTCATAGTTCAGTCCTGCATAGTGATGTAAATAAAATGGTAGGGCACGTTTTTATTAACTGTATTTTTGCACAAAATACACCGAAATACTTAATTCGATGCGGTTGTCAGGACACAAATATAAAACGACACCAATATTAACTTCACAGTCAATGGAGTTGTTGAAGTTTCATATAAAAGGTTAACGCATTGAAATATACATAATTATCTTAGGATGGAACCATAGAGGGGCAATATGCAGCGAACTCGTCTTGGATTTAAATGAGTAGATTTCTCTAGAAACTTTTGTTAAAGTCCTAGATACCCGTATGTTGCAAGGGAGAGGACAAGCCTAGTTAAAGTCCAAATGTATCTTTGTTTCTTTCTTACTGTAACCCGAATAATTCATTCGTTATATTCCGCTGATCTACGGTGGCTCGGGGGGAGAAAATCGGACAAGGAAAGGGATTGAACTATTTGAGTTATTCTTATTGCGATTTATTCCAAAAATAATCACTTACTCGACATTTACTTGCTAATATGACGGATGAAACATATGAATTATCTTTCTTTGATTAGTACCTTTCAGTATTATGAATTGTTTAAAAATGTGTTACAATGAGGCTGTTAATAGCTTATTATACGTATGTTGTTTAATTGCCAATGAGACACCTATCCACCAGAGAGTAAAAATCGACCAAAGAGCAGTGTGCGACATTCAATAAACCCATACTGTTTTAATAAGCTATTAGAAGACACCAGCTTGACAAACTTTGAAACAATTCAAAAGAGAAAACCAGCGGATATAATCTAAATAAAAAAGAAAAACCAAATATGGCAAACAGAAACCAATGACAACCACTGAATTACTGGCTCCTGTACATTTAAAATGTGTCGGGGATAAACATATCTGTGAGCGCTCATCTTTCCCCTTACTAGGGACAGTGTTGTAAAAGCACAACATAATATGTCTTAATAAATGACAATGTAGCTGCTGTTCCCAGAGTAAGACAGCTACCCATGAGCTGAACTTATTCAGATATGCAGGAGCCAAACTCTGGAACGAGTTGCCGAAAAGGATGAGGAAAGAAATGCCTCTGGGTCAATTCAAAAGTTTGGTTGGTAATTGGGAGGGCAGTTCGTGTCAGTGTTCCTCCTACATTAATTTATCTGATATACTCTGGCTTTTATAATTTTGTTTTCATACCTTTTAATTTTGTTGTAATTGCTTAAAATTCTTGTAGCCCTTAATGGGTAGTGTATGCATGTCAGGTTGTCTGCATTTTATGTTTGCCTTTATATGCTTTTCATCTGCCATAATTTTATGTGCTTTGATACCAGTATTTATATATGCTATGCATGATGTGCCGTCTATTTTATGTGTTTTGTGTTTTGTGTTTATCATATGTATGTCAGTTAAAAGCTCTACAGAGCTTATAGTATTGTGTTATATGTATATCCGAAACTCGGCACTAAGAACATAGAAAAAAACATTACAATTAGGCATAAACACAAAGTACGGTAACCGATCTAAGAGTAGTGAAACCTAGATCATTAATAATAAAAATAAAAACTATTTTTGTGAGCAATACAGCTAATAAAAGAGAAGTGAAAGACACCAAAAGGACATTAAAACTCATAAGTAGAAAATAAACTGACAACGCCATGGCTAAAAAAGAAAAAGACCAATAGACAAACAACAGTACACAAAACACAACGTAGAAAACTAAAGACTGAGCAACACGAACCCAACAAAAAATTGGGATGGTCTCAGGTGCTCCGGAAAGGTAAGCAGATCCTTCTCCATATGTGGCACCCGTCGTGTTCTCATGTTAGTATAAACCCGGTAATAAGTCAAATTCGGTAGGTCACATTCGGAGAAAAAGGGAACGGGATTGTAGTTACGACAATTGGAACATATCCGCTGTCATCCGTGAAACGGATATTCCATAACGGCCAACCAACTCGTGATGGCGTTCGTAAAATTTACGAAGTGCTGATGTTAACTTCTTTAATACTATTGCAAGATCAAAGAGTCTTGGATTGTATGTAATCTAAAATATCTTTGAATTTTTTTAGTCTCCACATCTGATTCACGCCACCTCTAGAACGGGTAGTTTCACGATAACTTTGAAGCCCGGCTTTGATTGCTGATAAAACTGACGTTAATAATTTAGAAAGAGGTTTCGTGGAGCACTTGAAGACCCAGCAACATAACTTTGGTTGTAAGGACACTAATGTAGTTTAGGTATCCAATACAGTGATGGAATTTCCAGTTCTTCATTTTTGGTTGAAATTCCAAAGGAACATAGAACAGACCTATGATTATCCAGGATTATAGCATACATATAGATGCATCGAGTGTGATACGATATTTCTCCACCCGAGCCAGTTATATTTTCAAATGTAAAATGTAATTGTCGAGACTGGAAAAATATTGTATTCCAAGAGATATAGTGGTGAAATGTGTTTTTTATGAGTAAGATAAACTTTATCCTTCTTTTCCAATGATCTGTTAAAAGATGTGGTCTTTCTATTGGACTGTATCAGGCATGGTAGCCTATTCGTTCACGTCACAATTGGAAATTTAGAGTAAAGCAAGAAAATTTTATGAAATAATTGATTTTTGAACCACAAAGAACGAAGAAATGCAAGATCTAACGAACCAGACGTTGATTAAATAAGAATAATCAACAGGTCAGTAAAAGGATAAATTTGGTGAATACAGGTTAGGCATATATAAATTTAACAATTTTAATGTTCACAGCACAAAATCATCCGTGTCAATGTAGTAATTTATGTACAAACAACAAGAACCACAACGGCAGATAAATATAGCCAGTAAGTATTTTTTCGGTAAGATACAAAATAATATGTTTTCTAACTTATTCAACTCTTTCATATCTTGAACAGACAATAATTTTGCGAGTTTGAAACTAAATGATCTTCAGAAATAATAAATTTTATTATTTCTGATAAAGCAATAATCTTCCAATCTGATTGGTTAATTATCAGGGTGTAAATAAATACCACACCCCAGCTTACCTTTTACAACGGGGCATAAAAAAGTAATAATAACTAACTACGCGTAGCAATATAAATACATTTGTAGAAACATTTACATAAATTTTCATGGTTATAATTAATAATATGTGTAATATATTAATGAATATATAAAAAAAAACGAAAACAGCTGGCGGCATTTTGTCCAAGGTTATGGTTGTCTTTCTGATATTGTTTTACATCTAACCCCCCTTTTTTTCAATTAATTTTGTATTTTCATTGTGTCATCGATCAAATTTATTCGTCCAGTGTATGTTCACTTGTTTTTCTTAATATGTCTTTTGATTGAGTTAAGCCATTTCAATTGATATTTTATAGTGTGTCTTTCTATGTTGTGATGTTACACTATTGTTTCAGGTTAGTGTGAAGGTTGCCGCCTATTACTAGTAAAATGTTTAAACCCGCTGCATTTGTTTGCACCTGTCCTAAGTCAGGAACCTGATGTTCAGTGGTTGTCGTTTGTTGATGTGGTTCATAAGTGTTTCTCGTTTTTTATATAAATTAGACCGTTGGTTTTCCTGTTTGAATAGTTTTACACTTGTCATTTTTGGGTATATCTTGCTGTTCGGTGTGAGCTAAAGCTCCGTGTTGAAAGCCGTACTTTGACCTATAACGGTTTACTTTTACAAATTGTGACTTGGATGGAGAGTTGTCTCATTGGCACTCATACCACATCTTCTTATATCTAGTCTTGTATTTTTTAGAATGCGCCGATTTGCTTACAATGTGTATATATAAATAATAAGATGTGGGTAGTCAGCAAATGGGAAGTAACTGCGTGTAGTTGTGTGTGCTAGGATGGCAGCGAAAATATTTGCCCGGTATAAAAATGAGCAAATCAGCGCTTCATAAGAAATAAAATGCGTTATCTATGTCAAACAGGGATGTATGGAATATTACATCTGTGTTGAAAATGAATTTCCAACCCCTGTGTAAAATTCCATACAGTCACCCCTGATTACACCAAGATAACTAATAATATACATCTTCCTAATTATATGGTATATTTTTCACATACGAGAATAAAAACGATATATTGTACTCGTCATTAAATTAATGTTTGTTACACATGTTACAAACACGCATCATTCTAACAGTATTACATAATCGACACGTTTAGACTACGTTTAAACTATGAGATTCACTCTACGATCAAAAATAAAATTGCAACTCATACGGATCTTAAATAAATATATAAGACAAATATTTGTCCTTAGTGTTCAAAGCCAATTCCGAGTAATAGAAAAACCATAAAAAATACG